TTCACCGTTTTTACTGTTGAACTAGCTAGATATAATCATTGCTCTATTTTCACAGATTTCCATGCACATCTTGCCATTTACTTGCTTTCCAGCCATCTACAATCTTCAAAAATTTAAATGCTGCATCAATCATCATCTTCTGTCTTCCAGGATCCTGTTCTTTTTTTCTTCTTTCCTTACTTCTCATCACTAAAATATTTTCATTCTCTTTCACTCCCTTCAAATCCTCTGTATCCTAGTGGCTTGCTTTGGGTGAAATGATTTTAAAAAATGAAAAAAAAGTCATTTAATCTAAATATAGATGATAAAAATAAAGAAAGAGTCAAAGTCTCTATGACTAAAAGTCAAAGTCTCTATAACTAAAATAAAAAAAACTTAGTTGTTTCCAAACTTTTTGTGTGAATTGTTGAGATGAAGAACTATCATTATTATAGATTCATTTACTACTGTTAGTATCTTTATCTTTTTTCTTTTTCATTTTAACCCCAAGCAAGGCAATAAAACCAGTAGGATGAAATGGGTTACTGAGTGTTAGAGAATATGAGCAAAACTACTATTAAGGAGAGAGGACAATAAAAGAACATGAATTTAGAAGACAGAAGATAATGTTTCACATTGTGTTTAAATTTTTGAAGGTCAAACTTGATTGGGAAACAAGAAGACGGAAGAGAGTCCACAAGTGAGAATTGCAATAAAAGAAACTGCTAGCATAGAACTTACAATTACATTTAGACAATTCAATTATAAATTGATGAGACCTTGCCAACAATCTATTACTGTGCTTAAATTCATAAAGCCTAGGTACCATAGAAGAATTTTTTCAGAACAATTACCATGAAAGTATTTATAGAAAAACACAGGTAAGCTATGTTATGGTGGTGGAAAAAGGACTGAAGCCAACATGTCATGTGAAGACTAATAATATTGCAGATTCTTTTTTGGATTTTATCAAGAATCTTTAAACATAAAGATTATGATCTGGTTGTGTTTAGTCAAAGTGTTTTCATTATTGTACCCTCCTATCTCTTATCAGCTATGGATACTTGAAGATGGTCAGGGAGCACAATGGCCTAGAGGTCCTGATTGTAACAATCACAATACTAGTTTGAGTGAATCAGTGTATCATAATGCCTTCAAAATATTTGATTTAACCTTCTAAAAGAGATTATGCAAACCATGAAATTCACTGTAATAAAATGAACTGATTTTTTGATCTGTACATATTGTAAACTATTTCAAGCTCTTTGTCTGTCAAATTAGTTTGGAGTGATTGCATTGGCCTGTTACAAGTATACTTTGATATGAGGAAGAGAACAAATCAATTATAATAGCAATCAAAAACATCTTATATATGCACACATAATTTTAAGACAGGAATAGTAGTAAATATTTAATTTCTACCTCATTCTTGTTTTTTTTTTAATTTGTATAAAGCTAAGCAAAGTAAGAAAGAGGGAAATGTTATTAGAAACAAAGAAAAGACTGCTGAACTGCTATGTAATATCAGTCCTCCTATATTGAATACTGAGAACAGACTTGAAGCAACAGAAATGTGTTTTTATAGAAGGATGTTGAGAATACATTGGACTTAACATGTGAGCAATAAAAATTTTTTAGAGAAAATGGAAACAAAAAGGATACATAATAAACATTAGAAAGAAAGAGCTGAAATTTCTAAAGCACATAATGAAGAAAGAGGCCTTGTTGATATATTATATATAAAAGTGGATACCAAGACTGACACCCAGCAACAATACTCTATTTCATACTTAAACACAATCTTCAGGCCATATTACATAGCCTGAGGATTATGTTTAAGCATGAAACAGACTGTTGCTGCTGGGTTTTGACCTCAGTGTCCACTTTTATATTTACATATGCTGTATCACTGATGGAGAGCACTTTAACCCATAAATATAGCATATCTTAAAACTATATTTTTATCATGGTCAGTACATTGTGACCATGTTCATAGTTGATATTATTGAGTGTTGGCTTTTTTTCTTTTATTAATAATGTTTCCATTATTTTTAACTTTTTTGTATATGTGGATGATGCTGCTTGTTATGGGATCTTACCCATAATAATAATAATGGACTATTCCATACATAATAAATACTGTGCCTCAGGAGTAGGCAAGGAGTCAGTCAGTCGCTTTCTCGACTGACTGTTCGGTTCACCTCTCTGTCTACGGACGGAGAGGAACCCGAAGGAGGCCACGCTGAAGGGCGAAGTCTCCTTCAGGGAGGTAAAACCGGCCATGGACCCGTTTATACGGGTTCAAATGGGCTATTTTTTGGCCAAGCCTAATGGCTTGGGAATTGCCCACGTTAAAAAGGCCTTGTGCCACATGACACCCTCGTGGGGGGGTGACTGAATATCGTCAGTCAGTTGCTCACTTTCCGAGCGACTGTTCGGTTCAACTCTTTGTCTACGGACGGGGAGGAACCCGAAGGAAGCTACGCCAAGAGCGGAGTCTCCTTCGGGGAGGTAAAACCGGCCCTGAACCTGTTTATACGGGTTCAAACGGACATATTTTGGGGCCGAGCCCATGGGCTCAGGAAACCCACAATAAACAACAGACCTTGTGTCACATGTTGCCCCAGTGGGGGGGGAGACTGAATATTGTCAGTCAGTCGTCCACTTTCTGAGCGACTGTTCAGTTTAACTCTCTTCCTACGGGTGGGAGGAACCCGAAGGAGACTCTGCCCTTCGGCATAGCCTCCTTCGGGGAGGTAAAACCGGCCCTGAACCCGTTTATACGGGTTCAAATGGGCTATTTTTTGGCCGAGCCTAATGGCTCGGAAATGCCCACGTTAAAAAGGCCTTGTGCCACATGACACCCTCGTGGGGGGATGACTAAATATAGTCAGTCAGTTGTTCAAGTCTTGACCAGCTGATTGGTTGAACTCTCTGCCTTCGGGCGGGGAGGAACCTGAAGTAAGCTACGCTGAAGGGCGGATTCTCTTTCGGGGAGGTAAACTGACCATGAACCCGTTTATATGGAGAGCCCACATTAAAAAGGCCTTGTGCCACATGATGCACTCATGGTGGGGGTGACTAAATATAGTCAGTCAGTAGTTCAAGCAGAGTCAGTAGATCAAGTCGAGTCAAGAGTCGAGTCAGAGGCAGTCCGAAACAGAGTCGCATTCAGACAATTACTGCAAGACATTGGAATAGTGATACTGGTCGAGACTACATTGTTCTCTCTACTAAACCTGATTGTTCATACTAACACTTCTACTTCTCTGTATATATTCCTCTTTGTAATATATCTGTGTTATTCCATACCTGTGTTCGCGTTCTTCTTTATTGGTTCTACCTTGGACTATCACCGTGGTACAAGGAACTGGACAATAACACTGCTATATTTGTATTATCAACAATTATGTTACGGTAGGTCTCCATGTGTATTTAAATGAGGCCTAATTGAACTATGGTCAGAGAGATGCAACGTGAGTTTTCTTGCTAAACATGTAGTATATCCAATATAATTATTTACAAATTTGGATTGGTCAGGAACACAGCTCCTTAAGGGACATGTAAATGTGTAAATAATATTGGTTCTTTGTAATTTGGATCTTTCAGGTGAATTATCATTTTTGACGATGACATTAGCAGTTTTAAATTTTTTATAATAAATAATTAATCTAATTTTCTTGTTTTAGTCTACTGGAGTTGTGTATTACTTTATAATGTTTCTAAGCAAAGATTCGTCTTGCTTATAGTTACTTTGCATTTGGTTTTTGTAGAAAATGTTATTGTTTTTTCTGTATTTTCAGTGTTGCTATTGGTTACCTTAAAAAGAAAATGTCTAATATGGTAATCTATAAGATGTTTTGAAAAACTGTTATTAACAAGCGTTTGTTTCACATTAATAAGGCCTATAAAGAAAAGTGGATGAGGATAAATTCTCATGCACCCTCATAAGGAAATTTTTAATAACACCTGTTTTATATCTGAGAGGACATTGACTAGTAAAATTAAGATGGCAAAAGTTTTTGTGGCTTTTTATATAATAAAATAGTGAATGTATTATTACTAGACTCCACAAGAACATCCAAGAATGGGAGTTTATTTTTTTGATTAAGTTCATAGGTAAAGTTGAGGATGGAACTTTTTTAATGTAGTTTTGAGGTTATTAATTTCATTTTTGTTCTCAACTAAAATAAAAATATAAGTACATAGCAGACATATATTTTCAGTTTAGTAACTTTTTAAATATCTTGTTTTCTATGTGGGACATGTAATAGAAAAGCACAGACCAAGAGAATTTACTATACTTACTCCATTAGTTTGACTGTAAATTTTGCTGTTATGGTCATAGAAGGGAATTTTTGTCGTGCAGGCACACAATAATTTTTTGAGAATATTGGGTTTGATGAATGGAGGTGGAATTGAATTATTTTTATATACAGAGTTAAGGATTATATCAATGGTTTCATTGATAGGGACATTTGTAAATAAATTTTTGGCAGCAAGTGATGCTAGAAATGTCCTGGTTTGTTTTTGTAGTTTTAAGGATTTAGAGAAATTCATGAGTTGATTTGATGCTATAATTGATAGACAGATATGGAGTAATAGTATCATTGAGGAATTTTGACAATTGGTATGTAGGTGTTAGGTTCTGTGAAATGATAGGTCATAATGGATATCTGGGTTTGTCTATTTTAACATTTCTGTATAGGTATCCTGATATATATTGAGTTGGAAACAAAGTTCACATACAACTTTTATTAAAATTATATATAAAGTTGTGTAGGAACTTTGTTTCCAACCCACTATATTGTATATGAATGCAATTAATAGATTTTTTTAATTTGACATTATTTCTTATTACTATAAATGTTATTTTTAGTGGGTACACATGTCTGAGTAGAAGTTATTTAATTTGTTTTGAGGATCTGACATGAAGAACAAAATGAAAACACTGATTTTAAATCCACCTGATGAATGTGTTTGATTCTAAATAGAGAAATAAAGTTAAATTGTTTACTTACCCACTGAGGACACCAAGAACTAAATTGAGCATAAAAAATGATCCCAACACTATAAGAGGTACAAAGTATATCCAATTGTATGCATCTCCTACAGCATCATCTGTCTGTAAATAGAAAAGAACATTTATTTTATTAAATGATTCCATGGATTTAATAGTTTAAGTCTCAAAATTGATCCAGCCAATGGATATTGTATGACATATGAATCAAATCATGGGATCTACATATTTATATATTAGTTAAGTTTTTAAGCATAAAAACAACAAATAATCAAAATAAAACATAACAAAATGACTGATTTAAATTCTATGGCATTGATAGGGAAATGAAACTCTCTTGCTTTTGAGTCAAAACCTGAATTAAGACATCAGAATTAAGAGCAAAATATGTGTGTATATCATATGCATGGCTGAGTAGTTGGAATGTTAGTGTTCTGATCATGTCCCATGTTCAAATCTCACCATGGTTGATTTGTCAGGGTGATGATAATATAAATCAAGGTAGATGATCCCTGTATTTGGCTCCATTGGGAAGTACCTGAAAACTAAAATGTGGGTTGACCCAAGCTTTGTGATTGAAATTGGTTAGGCAGAACTATTTACAAGCTGTCAATGGTTGTGCTAGCATGAAGTTAAAAGTCATTGTGACCGAGTGTTTTAGTGTACTGACTTTGTTTTAATTGTTAATCATATCAGATTATGCATTCTCTCCCAGAAACTGTAAATAAGGACAGCTTAGCATAGTTTCAGTATAAGCCACAGGGGGGGACTTGTGTTGAATAAACATATATATGCCTGAGTAGGATCTGCAACCAGGATTGGTTAGCCACCCTAGCAGATAGATGTACTTAGTAACAAGTAGTCAGCCATTATTATACACCCACACACACGCATGTGTGTATGTGTATGTATGTGCATATTTTGAAAGAAGTAATAGATTTATTTTTAATTTGACACTTTTATTGCTTCAAACATTATTTATTATATGAAATAAACACCAGATATTTACTTTTTATTTTAAACTGTATAATATGTAATTCCTTAAGATTTCTGAAATGTACATAGCCACTATACAATAGACATAATAAATACTGTTTAAAATAAAAAATGTGGCATCTCAAATATGAAATTTTCACTATAACATTTGTACTAAAATCTATCTATCTATCTATCTATCTATCTATGTACAGTGTAACCTGGATATAAGAGACCCGGATATAAGAGAAACCCGGATATAAGAGAGATTTTCTCTGGTCCCAAATTAGAGCCTGTGTTAATGTATATAAAATAGACCAAACCCGGATATAAGAGAAACCCGGATATAAGAGAAACCCGGATATAAGAGAAACCCGGATATAAGAGAGTTCTTCTCCAGTCCCGACAACTCTCTTATATCCGGGTTACACTGTATATTTAGGCAGCATATTTTCATTCAGACAGGTTTTGTTAAGAACTTAGAGATATGATGTCCATTTATTTTGGTTTTGATCCTTTCAAATCCACGAATTAATTTCTTGATAGCTGTGGAAAATTGAATGTTTTGAATTTACAGAAATACATATACACATTCACAGACAATTTAACCCCTTGAAGGTGATCTCAGATGAGATTGAAAGTACTTTGGAAAATAAAAATTATTTGAAAGAAAATTTTGGTATTTTTCTTAATTTTCCACAGCTACCAAGAAATTAATCCGAGGACTTGAAAGGATCAAAACCAAAATAAATAGACATAATATGTCTAAATTATTTAACCAAACCTTTTTGAATATATATATATATATATCCATCTCAAATGAACATTTGCCATCCATCAGACTTGGGAAATTATGGCACTGTGCTCTGGATGTTGTTTCATGTGCAACCATGTCTTGATAGGGCTATTTGTGAATTGCAGTCTCTCCCACACTTTATGCAAACAAAATTTGATGCTGGTCTGCCGGGGTTTTGCGATTTTTTTCGTTTTTTCATCTTTGACTGTTCAATTAAATGCCACTTTGAATTTGAAGAGGCCTTTCTACACTGCTTAACTCCAGGCTCATTATTTGAAGGTTATACATTTCCATATTTCTAGATTAATGCCTAGGGACTTTAAGTCTCGTTTCATAATTATAGTTTGCCTATAGGACACATTCCTTAAGGCAGCTCTCCATAAAGGAGATCCTTGGATATTTGACTGTCATCGAATCACATAATGGGTCTGATCCCATGTCTAAATCTTTGCTTTAAAAGGGTGTACATGCTGAATATCTTAGCCCTTTTGAGGATAGTCTTGTTGGAGGTGGGGCATGTGAAAGATGTGAGCTTCCGTTCATGTATTTCTCAATAGTAAAATGAACTAAAATCATTTTGATTAACTTCAGTTTTAAATATCTATAAGGAAAATCAAAGCAGAAGACATTTTTTTCTTATAATGTGTTTCATCCTTTATGTCTTCATTGGACTAAAGCAATGTTTATGTTGACATGACTACACATGTACACAGTGAACACTGAAATTTTAATCTTTTAAATTTAAATTATTTTTATTTTATTTTTTTAAATTTAGATTTTTTTTAAAAATATGTGTTTGGCCACTTTGTGTGTATAGTGTTAGTAACCCATATTGTGATAATTGAAATTCTGCTAATGTGAGATACTTAATAATAAAGTAAGTATTCAGATGAACTACATTACTTGGTTTTGCCAGTTCTAAACTTCATGGGTAAGACCCACCATGCTATGCACATTGTAGTAAACCACCCTCATTCCCTTTGTGGGTGAGATGTAAGTTCCACTTGAGCAGCTTCTTCCCATGAACTGACTTCCAAGAGGATGCTTCCTTGGTCACTACAATCTTAGCCTGTTCAAGTCTAGGGTTAATCATTATCTTCCCTCATATATCTGCATAAACTGTGCCTCTTACTCTGTAACCCTCTACCTGAAATGGCTCTTGGGCCTTGTAAAGAGTGACCATCACTGCAAAAAAATTAATATAGAAGTAAAGAAACTAAATGAAATTGGCTAGATTATATACCCAAACATATTTTTAAATAAAATTACTGTATTTAACAGCATATAAGACACACAGGTATATAAGATGCACCCCAATTTCAGAGAGGGCAAATCAAGAAAAAAATTAGTAATTAGTAAAATTATTAGTAAATGGTACAGCCTAAACTATATTTATGAGGTATTCTTTTGGTTAAAGAAGCCATGACTACACTTAAACGAAAAATAATAAGAAAAAAAGAACACGAGCCTATAAAAACTTCATCATATCCTTTATATGAATCTGTACAACCTGCGTCTTGTAAATGTTTTATTTGAATAATTAGGATATAAAAATTCTGATTGTATTTATACCAATGCAACCAGAAGTTATCACTAGAAAAATATTAATGAATCAAATATATTTTACAAATATATAATTTGAATTTATTTCATATAATTTTAGTGAAACAAAGTACTAATATTAAATGTAATGAAATTAATATAATGAATATTATCAATGATAAAACCTTTAATTTGCATAATAGTCTTTTAAATAATGACAATAGGTATATAAAAGTTACTCTAATGTCTAAGCTAATAGGAATTGTTGGGTAGCTAATTTCAGCTGACAACATGCAAATTTTAAACCTACATATAGCATATAAGATGTAGGGGAATTTTAAAAGATATTTTTAGTAAAAAAAAGTGGGCCTTATATGCCGTCAAATATGGTAATTAAAAAAAAATAAAATTTCTGCAACTATTCATGTGTATTTGTAGTTACCTCAATGTAAACATCACTTTTTACTCTAATGAAGTTCTAAACCTAAACTTTCATGGCACAAACTGAAATTTAGCTCTCTAAGTTCCAATTCCAAAATGTTATCCATCACACCAACTACACATCCAAACTTACAGGACCTGGTATTCCCAAGCATTTACCCATCTAGGTACTGACCAGGCTCGATGTTGCTTAACTATGGTGATTGTATAAGTATCTGAGCTTGATGTTTTTTAATAATGTCTATAAAGTGGGGTTTAATTTTGATATGTACACCGTAAATCCCATCTCCAATTTTGCCACATACCTACAGTGCACTCAGACTGAAAATCACTGTCTTAAAGGATGAAACATGTCGTATGAATATTTTTTCCACTTTGTCATTGATTTTCCTAAGATTGTTCTGTTATATAAAAATTTATATATCATTTTCTCCCAAATGTATAGTTAACAACAGGATATTAAGTTTGTAAGGTTGCATATAAAAACAGGTAGATAGAATATAAAGAATTTTTTCTTGGGCATTCTAAATAAAAAGAAAACTTCTGAATGAAAAAATATAATATTTTTTTATTCACTGACTTATATTCAAGAATATTAGTTTGTTTAAAACATTATTATTTCAAAACTAACTTACATAGTATAATACTTGAGTCCATCCTTCCATCGTTACACACTGGAAAACAGTCAACATGGCAAATCCCATATTGTCAAAACTAGTAATCCCATAATTAGGACCAGCCCAATTGAAGCGACATTTTGCAATATTTGCACGACAGTGATATCCACTCCCTTCATTTGCACAGGGTCGTATCGTATCTTCATCTCCATATTCAATGTTGTCTGAAAAATAAAACAAATAATGAATACAGTAACAGAAATTAAGAATAATGACTTGGAAAATGTTTTATAAAATTGAATCCTTTTTTAGAGCTGAAAAGAATTTATATGTTTTTTCAAATTTTTTCATTTGATTATGATGCACACAATGAAATATAAAACTAAAGACGTATTAATAAAAAAATATCAATGTTTTTATTTCCCTAGTTTATTGTTTATTAGCTATAGATTTGGAAATCTACAACTTTTACAATGTTAGAGATTTCCAGAGTCTTTTTTTTATTTCAAATGAAATCTACATTAATGAGACAAAACGTGATTCATATTAATCAGAGAAACATTTGATTTTTTTTTTGTATGTGGGGGGGGTTACTTTTAACTGTATCATTTTTAAGATGAGATTAAACAATTTCAATTCAGGTTTTATTATTATTTATTATTAGCATGATATGAAAACCTCAAAAAATGAATGAAAAATAAACTAAATTTAAATTATTAAAATGAAAATCTAATCTAAAAAAAGATACAGTTTTTTTAAAAACTAAAAACAAATCACACATTCATTTGATAAATATGTAATTCACATTTAAAATTCATTTTTCTGATGACACTAATTGATTGGCAAAGCATAAAATAACTGTCTATATTTCTGAGATGAGGTATTATGTACACTATTTACATTATTCGGACTATTGTCCTCATCTTTGTCATCATATTTATTACAACGTTTCGTCTGTTGTACGCTTCGGCCTTCTTCAGGTTGTTGGAATGTCGAATTGAACCCTTTATTTCACTCACTGGGGTAGACTGTTCTAGTTCCACGTGCCATGTTTAATGGATGTCAGTTATCAGTTATCTCCTGTTAATTCCCCTCTATGGTAAAGGCAGTGGAGGACTTGGAAATTAGGTGGTTTTAAGGTGGTTTTTAGGTGGTTTTTAGGTGGTTTTAAGGTGGTTTTTAACGACTTGGAAATTAGGTGGTTTTTAAGCTAGTATACAATAATCTTAGGTTATCCAAATTCCTTAGATGAAACATTATCATTGTTATTAATTTTTGACTAATCAAAATAAAATGCATTTTATTTTTGTTATTAATTTACACCCAGTAATATTGGATTTAATAATCAAAATATTTCTGAATTTGTTTGAGGAAGCATTTTTGAGTGTAGAACCTCTATAAAGCACTTTTGGTAGGAGACTAATGCATTTTGGTTTTTGTTATTGTCTCCCCACACTACACATGTACTATTATTTCCTGAATCCCCTGCATTTTACTTAAAAATATTTAAAAGAAGAAAATAATATTTTAAAATAAGAAAATAATTCTTTAAAATAAAAAAAAAACAAAAACTTAACCCTCTGAACCTGAGCTGCCAGTATACCGACTGCTATATGAAAGTGCATATATCAGGGTGGCCAGTATATCAGTCAGAACAATAATAAAGAGTAACGATGGACAATGGAGACCCATCAAGCATTCAGGGTTCAAATAGTTAAATGTAATTGTGAGCAAGATCATTTTGGCAGGGTTAAAATTGAAAATTTTCCCTTCATCAGCAACCATCGTGTTACCACAGGGTGCCACAAATGAGGGGATTTCACCCTTAAAAATTCAGAATCTTGGCAGGTTTGATGCTGCCATTTTGAATATCTCAAGAACCATTTTTGTGGCTTTCATGTATCTTATCAACTAATGGAAGGGTATGTTACTATGCATCTGGGAAAATATTTTACATCTGGAAAAAAAAAATTTAATATTTAAAGAAATGCCAAATTCAAAGAATTTTCTTACCTTCACTATCATCATTTGGTTTGATAAAGCAGGCCTTGTGAAAAGCACCAGTATAAAATTCCAAGCCAATAATGGCAAATATTACAATAGCAAAGAGCACCAATAAGCAAACTTGTAACAATGGGGCCATAGCCCGGATAATAGATTTTAAAACAACCTGGAGGCCTGAAAAAGATGAAATGAAATGTAATTAGATATAAGAAATAAAAGTATTTGAAACAATAAAAACATAAGTAAATAAACTAAGATACAGAAAATAATCAATTTAGTAATTCAATAATCTTTATTGAGTACAAAATGTTTAGTAGAGCTTTAAAAACAAATATTTTATAAATGTATTTATGTAAACTTTTTCTTATTCCTCAGTATATATTTAATATACACCTGCAATTTCTGGTACACATAATTCAGAAAGATGCATGTCCTCATATTGCAGCGTGGTCAGATTCAAATAAGTGTGTCTTCCTAATAAACTTAATGGTCCCATGGCAGGAGGCACACAAATTGCTGTGATCTGACTGCAGGGAAAAGGAGTGGACATACCATGTGCTATCTATTGCGGTTAGGCACTGTGGATTCCATGGAGAGTAAATAGTTTCCTCCTTTTGAAGGTGGGCATCACTGGCCAGTGCCTGAAGAGTGCTTCACATCATCTCCAGACCACAGCTCAACAGGCATTGAGTCAAAATAAACAAAGTTAATTAAAACTATCCTACACAATGCTACTTCTGATGTGAAACATATCTGTTTACTTATGTCATTGATAACAGTTGCTATGAGTGTGTTGTGTTTTGTTTAACGATCAAAAGCAAATGGTTTTAAGAAAACATTGAAAATGCTTGAAAATCGTACAGACTGACACATCTACACTAAAAACAATACCCTGTCCAGTGGCAAAACTGCTGGTGCCACCAAAGGTGGCAGAACTGCCGTAGTCACCGAAACTGTGCTACCTCCCCTGGTTGGCAGCTGACAAGGGCAAGGTATCACACATGCTGTCACACTTTGTATGTAGAAAAAAAAATATATATATCTATATATATATATATATACACACACACAAATATATATATGTAAAACTTGTGTCTCATGTTCAGAAAGCAAATATTCTAACCATTTGGCTCTGCACCCATTTGTATAATAATGAAGTGAAAAAACCAAGCATAACATTACAAGAATACTTTTCCTGTTAAAGTAAAACTTGAAACATTAATAGGTTCAGACAAAGCTACACATCTGTACATATAGAAATACATTTATTTCTTTATCTAACCAAGTCAGAACACTTTTTTCCTTGTGTAACATTTTCCTGTTACATTATTTTTTGGTCCTCATTTTCAAATTTGAACAAATTGTCTTTCAATTTCTTTGAATTATTTGACTAACTGAATTGCCAAGAGGAGAAATTTGCCAAAGGAAACTGAGTGGGGCTGATAGGAAATAAATAATGTACTAGTGAAAATCTTATATAGGACAGTGAAAAATATATATCTTAGGTTGTAATATTATTATATAAAAGAATTTTATCAATATTATGTTGAAATTTTATACTTCATTTGCATTTTACATTGTTCCAATGCAAAGATGGTGTTTTAAAATTTGTGAGTTCAATAGCAAAGTTTTTTTATCCATGGATAATGATATTCAAATTATTTATTTTTTAAATTTTTATCCAAAAATAGTGATATTCAATTAATTTTTTAAATTTTATTCCAAAATTGTGATATTCAAATTACTTTTATGACAAGGAAATTAATTGGAAACTTCTAAAGGACTGTCTTTTTAGAATAAATGGTACTTACTTGGAATTCCAGAAACTAATTTCAGCGGCCGAAGCACTCTAACAGCTCGCAGTGTCCGCAAATCAAATGAATTACTTGCAGGAAATATTGAAATAAATCTGAAAAAATAAATTGACAAAAGATATTTTCACTAGATTTTAATTGAAAGTAGAATTACTTTGTATAGCAAGAAACTGTGTAATACTTAAATTAGCAAAGAAAATAAACCAATAAAATAGAATTTCATACACATGCTACTAAGTAAACAACAGCTGTGCTGCTAATAAATCTTTAATCAGATCAATAGCCTGGGGTCAGGCATGGTTTTAGTGCTGAATTATCATTGCCATTAACCCAAAGTGTCCAAGTAGTACCTTATGATACCATCAGGATTTGTTGGCTTTCTGTTATGGCAGGAAAATGCCAAATGGAAATGCAGCCTCATCATACATTTATCCTATGTGATGACTTTGCTATCAATGATGAGTTTAGAAATGAAACATTAATCCATTGATGTGAGATCTGAATTAACTGATTAAGTGACAATCTCAGTGAGTGAAAAATTCAGCCTGAAAAGCAAGGGCATGATTTACATGAGCCAATCTGAAACAACCAGCAATGGATCATGACTCTCCACAACTTTCTATCATTTGTACCTCTTAGCAATTTATATATATATCACTCTCTGTTCAAGCATTCATTTACACAAACTTGTTAGTTTATTTGTTTTCCCCTCTGCCCCTCTTTGCCTTTGCATGAGCAAATTCTTCAAGATCTCTTACCTCCCTTATATGTCTCAGAAATTTCAACTGTCTCTTTCTGATTCTAAATATAAGTGTATTTTTTGCTTCCATTTTCCTTTCCTTGTTGAATACATATTCCATCCATTTGCTTAGGATCAGATGAGAACAGAAATTTCTTGCACACATAATGGGAAAGGGGGTTTGGAGAATCCGACACACACAGGACACAATGAAGGCAAAAAGGCACAGTAATGCAGAAAGTAACAAATGAATGGCAGAACATGATTGGGGAGAAATATCAGAGGTCAAATATTGCTTGCTGCTACAAGGGATAGGAAGTTATGGAGAGCTATGATCACCCATGTCCTGAAGAGACACGAAACATAAAATCTTCTAGTAATCTTTATGGATAAAATTTACATTTTTGAAGTGGCAGATTCTATTTTATTGAATTGATTCCAAATTTTTTTGATTGCTGATTTTTAAAGAGGAAGAGGTTTTTATTTTTTTTAAATCTTGTCATTTTTTTGTATTCATTTGATCTGTGATCAGATTTTTATTAACTTTTGGAAGTGAGTTCAAACCTCACTCACTCCTGTACAGAAGAGTTCTGACTTTCTGTACTAAATTAAAGCTGAATAAATATCATTAACAACATTACATTTTGTGATAAATTGAAGTAAATGTTTTGCACCAATCATTTTGACAGTTTAGTGTAACTGTTTCTAAGATAGTTGTCGCAGTGATTTGCTTACCTAAGATTTTAGAAGCACTTGGGAAAAGGTTAGATAATTTGAACAGATTGATCAATGTGCCTATAATGCATAATCAATGAAATTTTTTAGAATAGTTTTGAAGTTTAAACAAATTGATTAGTGTGCATAATCTATGAATTTTCTTTTTTAAAAATTAGAGCATTTGAACAGATTGATCAATGGGTTTAGAATGTATAATCGATATGTTATTTGAAAAATGATTGTGAATCAGCAATATTATCATCCCTGACCTAGCATCTTGTCTTCAGTTACTTTACCACAGCTGTAACATAGCTTCCCTTTGACTCTTCTATAACTATTTTCATGCTAATTGTTTTGATGAGCTTTTCTCATTGTGAACATCAACTTCACAAAATTTAAGTACCATACTAGATTAGCAGCAAGGTTTCATAATTTCCTTCTTGAAATTGCTAGCAGTAACCATACATTCTATGCTAATTGTTTCTTCTTTTGCATTTCTCACTTGTGGAACTCTCTTCTGGCTTCTTGCTTTCCTGTCGTCTATTTTCTCCTTGAATTCAGTCCTTTTATTGTCATCTCTGTTTCTTTCAACCTCTGAAACCCCTTGCATTCTAATAGCTTTTAATGTATTGCTTGGGGTAAAATTATATATATATATATAAAATAAATAAATCCTAATGAGCCAGGTACTACCTACCTAGGTTTTCTCCACATGAGATCATCAGGGTGAACTAAGAGCCATTTCACCCTGATGGTCCCATGTGGTGAAACCTAGATAGGTAGTACCTGGCTCATTAGGATTTATTTATTTTACTTTTGCTCTACTTAGTGTATTTAGCACTCTTTGTTTTAACTTATTACTCACTGTTTTTTTTTTCTTTGTACGAGAGATTTAAGGTACTGGACGATTTCTTCCACCCTGTTTGGAGGTTTTGGGTGATATTTTTTTTCCATTTATTCCTTGTATGATAATTTATTTGAACATTGTGCTATACAGGTTTTTTCACCCACTGAATTTAAATAGATTTACAATATACATACATACATATATATATATATATATATATATATATATATGGTGGTAGGCCTGGAGTGACCGCTCCAAGACAAAAACCTGGGCAATGGTATATAGAGGCTATGCATTGCCCAGGTTACATAGCCCCTCTTCTCAGCCATACCAATGAAATCTAACTACATTTAGGGCTGGCTTGGCTGTAGCAGTTGCTGGAATTTGTCATTGTAGATAGCCCATTGCACTAGGGGCTCCACTCGGAATTTTCTATCTGGATTTACTTCCATAGTCTTTTTCATGTTTGAATATGACTGCAAGGTAGTGAATATTTAAAATCAAGGTTTTCCTTTCCCTAGATGAATTACTTTTCTGGGTTGATGAGCTCCATATACCTGAAGCAGCTGGTTATGAGGCACCAGTGGTCTGTCTTTGCTCCTACCTTTTGGAGATAGACTTAGTTGTCAGAGGATATTTGAGATGCATTGATACCATGGCAGCATTATATAGACAGTGAGAACGTGTCTTTACTACCACCACCAGCTACAACAACCCTTAAACCCTTACAAAATATATAATGTACATATACAAACATTACATATGTTACATGTTTTGGAAGCTCCTCCAAAATATATGGCATATATTATATGATATTTATTTATATTATTTACAATTCGATTAGTGTCTTCATGTTTGTCGTTATGTTCCCAATCTTTTGATTGTTGTGCCATTCATTAGTGTTTGAAAGTTTAGTGTTTAGTGTTTAGATCATTGTGTCCTATATATATGACAATAGAGTGCCCATGACATATGTAGGAGAACACTACAATCAAACTGTACCTATTTATGCCTGCTCTTCAAAGACACATGAAGTCTGCCATTGTTCTGATGGAAGATGACACTTTTCTAATTGACCAATTTCAAATGATTACATTGTGATTGCAGGTTAGTATAGTCGGCTTGCTTTTGTTTGTTAGTAGGTGGTTTTAGGTGGTTTACAAAGCCTGTCTTCAGAAATAGCATATGCTCACACACACCACATTTCCAAAACTGTGTATTAATTGGTAAATTAGAGTAAGTGCCTTTTTAGAGATCATGTTTGGTCTGAGCATGTATATACACCGCAGGCAAAAAGTTTGAGGCCACCCTGCATTTCTTTAAAAAACACCTTAAAATGATATATTTATCTATTCTTTTAAAGTAAAAAATAAAATTTCAGTAACTACACTGTATTTGCTTTCATTTTGACAAAAATAGGCACTTAACTATAAAAAATGATCATACAACAGCATCATATTTTTTTATCAATAAAACCACCACCTGCCTTAATTACTGCTTTACAAATTCTTTCTAACTTTTTTTGAAAAAAAAAAAAAACGTAGATAGCAGACCTTCCTAAGCATTCTTTAAGTACTGAAAAATCTCACTCCTGCTTTTTGGGTATTCTCTTCAAACTCTTCTATCCAATTCATCCTATATTAATTTAATTGGAAAGAGGTCTGGGGATTGAGGTAACCAAGTCCTAATGTCTAAAATATTGTTTTTTTTTTATTCAAGGTAATTTTGATATAATTTAGAAGAGTGTTTTAAATTTTTGTTGAAAGTTGAACTTTTTCCAATTATGTGTAAACCTTAATGGTATAGAATGTCTGCAAAACTGAATGATATTGTTCCTTTTTCTTCATTCCCTTGACATGAATCAGACCTCCAACCCTTCTCTTCCAAAACACCCCCAACATCATAACAGACCTATGTCCTTGCTTAACTTTTAGTACCACACATTCATCATTTAGTCTCTCCTGACTTTCTTCTCACATACACTCTTCTCATACAACTAAAAAGGTTAAATTTGAACTCATCTGTCCACCAATACATTTTGCCATTCTTTCAGTGTCCAGTTCTTATGCTCTTTTGCCCATTGTAGTCTTTTCTGCTTATTCACCTTCCAAAACAGGGGTTCCTTGATTGTTATGCACCCCTTGAGTCCCACTGATCTAAATTGATTTTTCACAGTTGAGAGCAACACTGATTTCTGTTGTTATAAAATAAAATAAGACATATCTCGGCTGATTTACAGGCAAATACTCAAGAGCGAGAGCCGGATGTGAACGGGACAAAGCCCCGTCACAAAATGACCATTATCTTTATTTACAAATTTTCCTGACACACGAGTTCCGGTCGAAAAATAAAATAATATTTCAAGTGCTCTATTTTTCGTCCAGTAAAAATGCTTCCCTCCTAATTAACTCGCTTCATTTTTCGAGCCTGTTAAGCCATAAAAAAAACGCTATAAAAGGGGTCACACGGAAGTTCAACAGTCAGTCAACAGGTGCCCAGAGTAGAGACCTGTCACGGTCATCTACTGACAGCAGGGGAGCATCAACCACCGTCAACATGTGTGAACTACTATGAGAGATTGACCTAGATCTGAAGCCGGTTTATGAACTTTACCACACCAAGGTAGCTGTCCCAAACCCACACGTTCCTGTTGAAATAAACCACGTAAATCTATTTCTGCTGTTGTCGTATTTCTTTCTTGCAACCATACGCTTGTCTATAACACTGTCAACAGGAATTAAATTCAACTGTCAACTCTGGAGTAGTTTCCCTTCTATTTCTTTTGGTGCAAAGTGGTTGACTCTGATTTATTCAGGTGAATTGGGATGCAGAACTGTATGGGTTCATCCAAATCTCACACTAGGCTCCAAGAAGTTGCATAGGCACTGCGAAAGCCACATCTCAGTCAACAGCAGCTAAACAGTGTCAGGGTAGTCAGAAGCATTTCTTGACCTGATTGATGAAGGGGAACACCCTTCCTCCAACCCACTTGTGGCCTGGGCATAATGGCTTTACCAGTGGGTAGGGGAACTTCTGAGAGGAAGGACAGAATAATAGCAACCTTCCTGGTGCAAAAGTAACTGGCAAGCCATTGCACTATTTTGCCTTGAATGTTAACATAAACCACAGTTATAATAGAAATAGGGGCACTGGTGACTACAGCAGTGTAAAATGTGCTAACTGAATAAATGAATGAATCAAGTGTTTGTCTTCAGCAGCAGTTGTCACTTTTGGGGCTACAGCTCTTTTACTGTTAAAATTTCTAACTGCCTTTGTGACAAATAGTGCACCCCATGACTATAAATCTTCAGCTTCTTGGTAATTTGTGTTTGAGAGTAGCCTTCTTTGAACAAAATTTCAATTTATACCCTCACTTCAATGCTTAGACACTTTGATTTTGGCATTTTGTGCAAATTATTTAAAAATTAAAAATAAATAAAAATAAACTATGAAAATACTTTTTATCTTTTTTTCTTCAAACAGTGACAGCTACATACGTTTTATTCACAACATTAGTCAGGGCTGAGTTAACATTTAGAACCTGTATTAACATTAAATTTTGGTAATCTCAAAAAATCTACTGAGGTGTTAATGGTCAAAACAAAGTATGTTTCTCATACAAAATAATCATAATTTATCAAAATGTATCATGGACAGATGAATCCAAGTTTGAACTTTTGGTAGTAAGAGGAGCCTGGGAAAAGACTGGAAAATAAAAGCAAATACATTGTACTTACTGAAATTTTATCTTTTATTTTAAAAAATCTCCAAACTTTTTGCCTGTAGTATATATATATATATATATATATATATATATATATATATATGTATGTATGTATATGTATATTAATTTAAGTAGAAAACAGACAACCTTAAGGATCCATTGGTTATAATTTACTTCCCCAGGTATATGATTTTTACCTAGTTCATCAGACTGCACTTTCAAGGGTGGAAAAAAATGTTTTAAATTTACATATAGTTGTTACACACTTTTGAGGGGTAGTTTTAAGTTGTTGTAAGGTGATTTAGAGAGAGGGGAGGAGGAGTATAACAGACACAGTCAGAATTAAAGAGGGAAGGGATATATATATATATATATATATATATATGATTATTGTATGGGATGGACGTATGTGTTGTACATCTTCAAAAACATGAGCTAATGTATTTAACTGTTTTCTTTTGATTTTTCAACATATTTGTAGTCATGCATGTTGGCTTGGGAAAGTAGTAATTCTTTTAGGAAAACTGAGGTTGGAAAGAAACCGGGGTATAGATTTATATTTTCTCTCTTGAGAATTTTCCTTTACTTTCTCTTTTTCATGAGAGTGGCATTTTTAGATCAAAATTGTGGTTGAAAAAATGCACACATCATGAACAAAAGACATAATCCTTACTTCTTTATAGCATTATTATTTATTTGTGTTGAGCAAATTGTGGCATATAATATTTTATATGGCATATTTGTATATTTCAGTGTTGTATATAAAATGTTTTCAGATATAACCCATTTATGGAATATTAATTTCTTTGAGTTATTTTAATCCATCTTTCTATTGTGGTAAGGTGTTGGCATATTATTGTTAGACTAATGCCTACAATGGGTCTTGGAGAGTAGAGAAAAGCAAAATATTTCTTTCCCCTTTCGAAGCACACAATTGACATGAATATCAAATAGATCAAATAAACTGAATTAAGGAAATATCAATTTTACTTACCCTGTTACAACTACTACAAAATCCATGATGTTCCAGACGTTTCGTAAATAAGATCCTTTATGAAGTGCAAATCCTAATGCAACTATTTTCAATAAAGCTTCTACACAAAAAATTCCAAGGAAATAGAACTCTGTAGCCTCCTGCAAAAAGAAAAGAAAATATTGAGTTAAATGAAAGCTTTTAGTTTATAACTGAGCAGAATGTATTTGCTGTGAATTTACAAATCAGTAAACAATATGAACATTGCGTGAACACAGTTATTATTATAAATAAAAATAAAATATAAAATAATAATAATAATGATGAAAATTATAAATAAAATAAAATAAAATTTAAACCTCGTTTAAAATAACTTAAACAAATTAAATAAATAAAAAATAATAAAATTACACCCAGCATTTTTATTTATAATAATAACAATGTTCCCACAACATTTTTATCTCTTTTACTCCCAGTAGCCTTGCACCTTACTGACATTATCACCTTGCTTGGGGTGAATTGATTAAAAAAGAAAAGAAAAAAGAAACTTATAATTAAAACAGTACTTCTTCAGTTATCCAGACACCTTTGTACAGGGGTTGAAAAAAATATGTTCTGATAATTTAGTTTTCTGGATAATTAAATATTTAAATTATTGAAAAAGACTGAAGGTAAAAATCATTTTCTGAAAGAAATTTAACATTTATCTGATCAAATAACATTTTCAAATACTTTGTTCAAGGTTTTGTCCAGCTTATTTTTTATGAAAAAATGCATCAATTTTGGTCTGTTTCCAACTATCCACGTGTTTTTTTGGATTCGAGTAGATGTATTTGTAAGTATTGCTTCTGTTTGAAAGCACAACAAGCTTAAACTTTTGTCAAACATAATCATTGCTTTGGTGTCTGAAAATTAGGCATTGGGGGCTGTTAACATGGGATATATCACTATCATCTTCCTTCTCTTCAACATTTTTTGGTATGGTTATATGTTCAAGAAGACACTGGTCAGACTTAGGTATTCATATTCAGAGCTGTCTTCAATGAACTAGTCATTTATTTTTGCTTTATTTATCATTTTTATTAAACATTGAGTAACTTTTACTCAATATTCAAAATGCTTGAATTAAATGAAATATTAGAATGGGTTTAGTTTGGATAATTGAGTAATGGTTGAATAAATTCTGTTTTTCTCTTCATGTCTAAATAACTGAAGTCCAGAAAATTGTGGTATAGATAATCAAGTACTGGATTTTTATTTTAATTTTTATAATTAACACTGGACTTTGTAGTGAGCATTAATTGGTTGAGGAGGAAATGGAAAATTCTTAGAATTGCAGCCCAGATCCAGTGAATCAGATCAAGGTAAAGATTTACAGACAGTAAATGACAAGGTATTGATGATCAATGACTGAGAACTATGCAAGCCAGATCATGGACATGGCCATACAGGCACATCACAGATTTAACATAAAAGGAAGTGGAAAATTATAAGAATACCAGGACATTGCCTGGGAGACGAGAAAGATATAAAATATGAAGGTTATGAAAAGTTATGCTCATGATAGGAGGCACACATGAAACTATGTCCTAAACTCTGGAATCAAGACTAAATGAGTTGGAAATCTGAAGAAGACTGGAGACTATACAAAACATAATATTACTGGAGCCTGTTAGGATACTAAGAAGTAATCTAGAGTTTTGAAAAGAATTGTTGTCACACAGTCTTCAGTGATGACCCCAAAATATATGATCTGAAAGCACGAATAATAATAATAAAAATGATGCCTCCTTATTGATATGGCAATCCCTGCTGACTGCAATGTATCTTTGAAGATATTCAAAAAGCTGTCAAAATACAAGGACCTTGAAATAGAAATCTTGAAAATGTGGCATATGGGAACATCAACAATCCCTGTTGTACTTGGAGCCCTAGGACTGGTTGGAAAAGATTGCAGTAGACTAATTGAAGGGATTCCTGGAAGTCCATGCCTCAAGGAGATACAAAAAATTTTTCTGATAAGTACAGCCCACACTTTACAAAGGGCTTTATCTATGTAATTTAATTTTTTTTTTTTTTTTTTTTGTCAGTGGAAAGTGTCATGACGCCATTTCTAACCTTAGGTCCCTGGGCGGGATCCGGAAAGAAATGTGTAAACGCCAGAAATCAAAGAAAATAATAATAATAATAATAATAATAATAATTGTAATATTTATAAGAACTAAATAATGAATAGTTAAAATAAATGATTAATAATAGGATCCAAAAATAATAATGTAAAATAAAAGTAATAAATAATATATAGTAATAAATAGTGATAATAAATAGCAATAATAATAAATAAATATTACTAATAATTTAATAATAATATCTTCTTAAAGAAATTTAGCTTCAAGAAGAAATTTAGCTTCCTGATAAATGGTAATAGTAAGAGTAGCTGCTTCCTAATAAAGAAACATTTAGCATTCATTGACTGAGCAGCCAGTACTGCTTTCTGTTGAAATTTATAAAATCTTTCTCTTAAAACAACTTTTTAGGAAAATAGATTTCTCAAGTTCAGTAGCTGTTATAGCTCTTTGTAGTACTGAGGTGTGTGTGTGTGTGTGTGTGTGTGGTGGAGGGGTCCTATCTAACCTTTTATTTGAAGTGGTGTGGAATGTTAACATTTTCATTATGTCATTATTTTCTCTTCAAGTTACATGCGCTATCCATTTTAGTTGTTGCTGTTGAAAGTCCTCAAGTGATATGGCTTTTGTTATTTGGTACAGTTCTTTGTTTATGAGTTCAGTCTGAAGTCGGACGACTGGCTGACCGGCTGATCGGTTGAACTCTCTGCCTTCGGGTGGGGTTGAACCCGAATGAGGTTACGCCGAAGGGCGGAGTCTCTTTCGGGGAGGTAAACTGACCCTAAAACCGTTTATACGGGTTCAAAGGGCATATTTTTGGCCAAGCCCACGGGCTCGGAGATCCCACGTTAAACCGACCGTCGGGGGGGGGGGGACTAAATACTGTTCTTTGTTTATGATTTTGTAGCATCTGTCCACAATGTTTAAAGAAAGATGATCTTTTCCAAAACTCTCAGACTTCACTTGCTCTTTTTTCACCATTGATCTTAGAAAGCTGATACAGCTGACAGTTTAGATATTTCTGAACAGCTTTGGTGCCATGCATGACATCCATATGAAAGTCTTGATCTGATGAGGCTATTTAAGAACATGTAAGGCTCTATAAATACATTAGCCCAAACTAACTCTTCCTTGACTATAATTGTAGCTTACATTTCCCATATATAAAGTGATGTTGGCCTTTCAGTTACTACTATTGTGAGCTACATCTTAAAAAAAGCAATCAGGATAATCAATACTCTCTCCTTCACTGAGCATGTCTAGTTCTGGGCATAACGCCAGGTGATGTCATCTTTAATCTTTTTGCTATGGCTTCTTGTCCAAGAGATGCTTCTTTCATGTCTTTAATGCAACAAACTTCATCTATTTCACCTTCAGTATTTAACAAGAGTTTACTTACTAGTCAATGACTTTATGATTAAATATTGTAATCATTTTCAACCATCTAGGTTTTAAAATGGTCATTTCTAATATATGTATTCATCAGCTATTTTACTGATCTAAACAAAAAGTTATAGGAATCATACTTTTTCTAAATTTTCCAATAATAGCAATAATTATAAATTAACTTGTTTTTAATCCAGTTAATTTATAATTATTGTTTACCAATTATTTACCAAATCAAATGTCAGTGTGATGCTGAATATATATATATATATATATATATATATAGGTAGAACAGGTCAGGGACTGGAAGCAAGGATCAAGCTGTATGCTCCAGTCAATATTTGTAAGGTTAAGGTGGACTGTTTGCATAAGTGCATGAACACAACTAGTTCAGTGATAGCTGAGCATTTGTTAAAAAATAGCAATGTACTTGATCTTATAACTGAGACACGTTCTCAGTACCAAGGATGGCTAATTTTGAATTTCATTTAAAGGTGTTTTTTAGTTGTTTTTTTTTTACAATAAGATTCATCCTGTACAAGCCCTGAGGGCAACTCAAGGTAGAGTTATATTAAGGGATAGTTTATATGGATAGGAGGGAAATATAACAGTTAACTCTAAGCTTGGAATAAATTTACATTAATTCCTACCAGCTATCTCTATGTCAGCAGAATAAGTGCATGTAGACTTAAAAAACTTAGCCTGTACTTATTGTTATTTAAGAACTTTTTTACTACTAATAAAATGGGGGAAAAATCATGATTGTACTTTTATTCACATACTCTGTGGTCAAGCAACTCTTATGGCCTGGCATATTTTGAATATGTTTTTTCAATTAGTTTGTTGACCTGCCAGAGTTTTTTGATCCAGTTTCAAATTGCAATTTAAGCTCTAATTTAGTGATTTATAAATAGACTTGTGGGGTTTCCCCACTTGCCTGCCAAAAACTTCTGCTGATGATTGTTAGATAGTATTGCTAAAGCAGTATATAAGAAATAAGTGTAAAAGTTTCATCCATTTTTTCTTTTACTTACATTATGCCTGAGAAATAAGACATATCTTGTTCCCCTCTCATGGAACCTTTTGCTCCACAGTGAACTTCATGTCATACTGAATACAACACAGAATAGAAACACAGTATACACTACCCTAAGTTTATTTGACTGCAGACAGGCCTATCTCATAATTCCTCTAAACTAACAGATATAGAACTCTTTTCAAATGTAAGTCTGTCACAATCTTTCAATGGAACTTTACTATAAGGACATTTCTACTTTATTCACTCATTTTGCGTTCCAGTTAGTTTTGGTCAGTCAATAAAACATGTTTGCAATTCTATGCAATTTTTTGTATAGCCATTCTTGCTTTCCTAAATAGAGAGAATTCAATATGTCTACTATCCTATCCACTCATAATCTTCAACAGTTAATAAACTGAATGTGTAAAACATTTAACTACAGTTTGAATTCAAATTAAAGAACTATTTACCCAACAAATATTGATATTCATTTAAGCATAAAATTAGGCATGTATTTATTAATCATATACTGTATACAGGATGTGTGAATAGTGAAATGGGTAGAAATTGCTAGAAGCTCAGAAAGAAAAATTGGCAAACTTAGTTAAAATTCCTTCTAAGCCTGTTGTATTCCCTTTTGAGAAAAAAAAATTTAGGAATCTATAAATCCATCTCTTTTCCTCTCAGCTATGGGTTAAATAACAGAGTAAATGGGACTCTCTAGTCCTTGTTAGTAAAAAGCCTAGAAGACGGAGAATACAGGATTCAAAAACTGATTGGGTGGCGAATCTAACCTGTAAAAACCTACTTGCTACAGATTTCATAGAAGCACTACCTAGCATGGTGAGGCTCTGGCCCTATGCTCCACAGGAATTTTTAAGCAATCCATAGATAGATAGATAGATAGATAGATAGAAAGAGAGAGTGAGGTTGTAATCTGAGTTACCATTATTTTTGGTTATAGGCTTCATATTACATGAAAACATAAAACTTTCTGTATAGGCAATAATTGTATTATTTCTTGTTTTTAAGCTTTAATCTACCTTTCATAGGATGCTGATATGCTAATTTAAAGATTAAACTGGAGTCTGCAAGTAGTCTTCTTCTAGAAAGAAACAACAGCTCAGCATATCAGTCTGTGTGTGTGTGTGTGTGTGTGTGTGTGTGTGTGTGTGTGTGTGTGTATGAACACTTACTTCATTATGGATTACAATACTAGACTTTACCACAGATAACACAGAAATATGGGCAATCTTTAACCTTTGTGCATGCAAAAATTTTATTTGCTATTTATTTTTTAGTCTTTATTTTTCCTTCAACCGGAGTGGATAGGTTTGCCTATCATCTGGTTCATACTCCTCCTTGGTCTTTTGAACATGAGTAGAGATTTGTATCTCTTGCTTCTTGCTCCTTCTAAAGTTTTTTTCATTCTCTTTCACTCCTAGTAGCCATTTGCATTTTAGTGGCATTATCACCTTGCTTGGGATGAGCTGATTAAAATAAATGTGATTAGTCTGTAATTGTTATATATTTTATATAAAAATTGGCTGTTGATGTTCATTTTAGTTGTGTTGCACATTTCTTTTTCTCCATAGAGTTCTGATGAAAAAGGACCAATAAACTGGTTCAGCTGCTTTTTTGTTAATTGTGTTTCTATATTACTGCTTTACAGTAATTTTGATTTTTTTATTATCTCTCTTTTGCTAAATTTTCCTCTTGTTTTAACATCTTTGTCTTTAGTGCTTTAATTAAAACCTAATTCTACAAATAGCAGAAAAAGTTGAGGACAATCCAATTCCAACAGCATCCAGTTGATCTATAAATTAATTTGCAAAATATTTGTGCAATGGAAACAAAGAACAATGGACCAATAAGAATAAATGGTACAATTTTATATAAAAAAAATAAACCTCTTCAGCTCCAGCAGTAATAGCATAATGAAGAAAATAATCTCAAGAGATGCCTTCAAGTGTGAAAGAAAGCTTGAACTATTCAATAATGCCAACTGCAGAATCCCATGATGCATTTTGTAGTGCATGAAGCCAATTGGTACAATAAAAAATATTGGATTTGATTTTAAAGCTGTCTTCATTAGTAAATTACAATAACTGAAACAATTGCTTTTCCCAGAGCATACATAATATTATAAAATGTAAGAAGTGATGGAAATAAAAGTGTGAAAAGCTTTATGAAATAAAAAATAATTTCTGCCTGAATTTCTGGGATGTAGAGCCATCATTATTTACACTATTAACATGTTGACTATTGTCCTCATCTTTAAGTTGTTATCAGCCATTGTGCCCTCCAGGCTTCATTGGGCAACCTACAGGGAATTCCTAGAAATGAACTCTTAATTTAATCTATGGAGGTGGATTAGCCACTGCCCATGTCTAGGGATATATCATCTATTTCTTATTTTTAATATTGCTCAGTTATTGAATCCTCTATTTCCACAGGACAATACCTTAGTGGATTAAACTGTTGGTTCATGAATTTGAAGACATAGTTATTACAAGTTCAATCCCTGGGTTGAGCAGTGTATATTTGAAGTCAGTGAAAGTAGGGGAGCAAAAACTAACCAGTACTAAAAGTAAGAATGTTACAATATATACCTAAAAATTGGCCAAAATAATGTGATAACAACAACAAAGATGAGGACAAGACTCTGCATGTCAATAATGTAAATAATAAAAAAAATACTTTCTCATTATAAGTTTTATTTATGAATCAGTTAATATATATTAATATATACTGTATAATTTTTACTGTCTTTCAAGAATCAAAATTTAGATATCTGATAAGCGTTTTAACAGGAGACAGAAAATCCAACAACAAAATCAGAAGGTGCATTGAAATAGTGAAAGATGTCTTCCAAAAGATAAGCAATGTATTAAGAAACAGAAAAATTTCATTAGAAACAAAGAAAAGAGTATGGGACTGTTTTGTAATATCAGTCTTCCTTTATGGCAGTGAAACCTGGACAATCTCCTCACTGATGAAGAAAAGGCTAGAAGCAACAGAAATATGATTTTACTGAATTATGCTGATAATACTGTGAACTGAACATGTTAATAATGATGAGGTTTGGCAGAAAATGGAAACAGAAAGGATACTTAATATCATAAATAGTTAAAGCTTCTAGGGTACATAACGAGGAAGGAGGGGTCAGAAAATTTGATGCTCACAGGATATATTGAAAGCAAGAGGGACAGAGGAAATCAATTAACCTATTGATGTAATGGAATATACATACACCTGTGTTCCCCCTCACTGGAATATGATTGGCTGGTGTCTGTCATAAATACCGATGGATGTGTAGGAGAGTCAAGAGCCTTAGTCTGAGAGCTAAGTCTATAACTATGCCATTGATCTACACTTCTTACCTGCAACTATGACGCGTACCAGTTGATTACTGCTACCGTATTTTACTTGGTTATAGTAGCCAAAACCACTTAGCTACTTCGTTCAAATATATCCCTTTCTGGGACACATCACCTATTTAATGAGCACTTGTAAATAGTTAGCAGAACAGGGATTAAAAGAGACAGAAAAAAAAACAAAATTTACTAGTACCAGAATTTTTTTGCAACATTCTAATGTGTGTTGAAATCCTTACAGTATTTTGCATTGTTGAAATTACTGCATGTTTTGTTCGATTTTGCAAATCAATTGATGAAATTTGGATAAGCTGATTTGTTTGGAAAAATGCTCTGACAAAAACCCTGCTTGATGATTTAATAATTTCTTGAATTTATTTTATTTAATGTGTAAATATTTCTTTCTGTATCCCCTTACCTGTGTGCACTTCACCCCCATTTTGTTTTGATTGATCAATGTATGGCTATTTTAGAGGGTGTGAAGAAGCCATAGAATTTTATATATAAAGGACAGGAAGTTGTAGAGTTGTCTGCAATAGGGATGGCACAAGAAAAAAAAAAGCATACATTACCTGAATGGCAAGAAAAAAAAAAAAAGATTTTAGTACTTACCAGCTGAACAGCCAGAGGAGTTTTATCTTCATTTGGAAGGTGCTCTTCTAATGCTAGAACTATGCAGTTGGCAATGATTGTGAGTAATACCATATATTCGAATGGCGTAAAGTTGAATTAAGGAAATAACTGATTGGCATACATGAAAGAATATAAAAAAGAACAAATTCATCACATACAACTTCATTACAGAACAAAAAAAAACAACAACATTCAATTCAAAAACAAAAAATAAAAATGTAAAGTTGCTTTAATTTTAATTTAAAAACCTTTTTATGCAACAGTTCATCCAGTGCAACACTTAAAAGCCACTCAAGGAAGTGGCTACTTTTAAAATGGTTTAGATGAATGAGATGTAGGATATGAATGAAAGAGGAGCTGAGAAAAAGTGAAGATTATGAGGATAAGGATGATAGATAACAACTGACCCCCAGTGATGTGCAGAGGTTTGGTGATACTGGAGGCCTACTCCTTGATTATATGCCCCTAAAACTCAAGTAGGGGGTACCTATAGGATCTAGTACTGAGAAATGTGAGAAAGGAAGACATTTTAAATATGTAAAAACAGATGAAACATGAAATAAACACTTTATTCAAATTAATATAAACTAAATTTTTATTTTACTATTTAATTGGATGCTCGGGGCTGTCGCACCCTCTGCCCACACCGCTTTTACATGCTACTGCTGACCTCTGACTTGAACAGGTTAAAATTTTAGGGAAAACTATGACAAAGCAGAAAAAGTTTTTGTGATGCATTTCATCCTTTAGGGCAGGGGTCGGCAACTCATTTGACCCTGCGGGCCAGATCGTGTTATAATGACGGGTTGTGGGCCGGATGAAGGCCATTAATGAAAAATTAAGGAAAATTACATATACAGACCCCTGTCAACCTAAATATTTAAAACCATAATGAAAATAAACATTGAGAAATCAGAAAAACAAAAGAAAATCTAAAATTAAAAAACACCTAACAAAAATTACTTTTCCTCAAGGAACGTCAAACTCAAAATACTTCAAAGTGAAAAAATCAACCAAAGTGAAATGGATGAAATTATGACATGTAGGTTTGAAACTGTTATTGAAAATTGTTCCACAAATGAACCACACACACACACACACATCAAATAAAAATGAAGCACATATACCCATACATATGAGTAAAAATAGTTGCAAACATATACACTTACGTATGTACACATGCGGTATCATCCACACATTTATGAGGCATGTATGTATAATGCGTGTATGTTTAACTGTCTATAGATTTCTGCTACCTCGCATGTCAGTCCCTCCCTGGTCTCTTTCACTTTATCGTTCCTTTCGCTTCTGTTATCTTTTAATGTAGCCAAGGGTCATAACAAATATGTATCCATTATTTGACATTAAACGTAGGCAACGTCTCATGAAAGATAACTGGCAGATAGTCTAATTCGAAAGCCTTGTCTCTCATGTTAAAAATAGTCATTGGTAATCAGGCTCGCGGGTCGGTCAAAATGCCTTTGAGGGCTGGATCCGGCCCGCAGGCTGTAGGTTGCTGACCCTTGCTTTAGGGCTTCATTGGACTAAAGTGATGTTTATATTGATGCAACTATACAAGCACACAAATGAGAGGGAATGCTGAAAATTTTAAATTAATGTTTTTTTTATATATGTTGTGTGTATATAGTCCAGCTGATTTCATTGAGTTTCTTTTCCTTTTTGTTTATGTTTCCATCACTTTTGTTATTAAATACTCCACATTGTGATAATAGAAGATCTACCAAGAAAGGTGAAATGTTGTAAGAATTTTGATGCAAATTTTCTCTTTTACTTGGATTAGCATTATTTTAAAATCAAAATTATAGTCTTTTGTGATGTCAACAAACACTCATTGCCACTTTCATAATGCTCATTGTAGTAGAGACTTTGTAATTGCAGATACAACTATAGTACACTGTTGAACAATACTGGTGTCAGA